CAGTGTTTTCCCCAATTAGACATCCACAACCCAACTTAGCAGAGCGTATAATAAAAGAGACAAAGCGATGCTTAAGAAGTTATTGCCACAATAATGAGAAAACTTGGCCTGAGTATATCAGCATAATTAATGAGTTTCTAAATGAAGTACGAAACGAAACTACAGGTTTCACCCCAAACGAACTGCATCTAAATAAAAGGAATGTTAGATTTTGGAGCAATGTCTTAGGTTTACATAGAGAAGATGACCAGAAGGTTGTTAAGCTAGAGTTAGCAAAAACTAGAGCCGAAAGGAAGAAAGAAAACAGAGCTAGAAAATTGAATACACAACACAAGATAACAGAATTTGAAGTTGGAGAGAAGATTTTGTTAAAAGCTGCACCAATATCTAGAGCAATATTAGGTGAAACAAAGAGCCTTTGCCAAATTTTTGAAGGTCCATACAAAATCCATCAAAAGATTGGAAAATCAACTTACATTTTAAGTGACTTGAATGGTTTAAATATAAAGGGTCCATATCACACAGAAAGTCTAAAGAAATATTTTAAAAAAACAAAACCTGGAAAAGATACAAAGGAGGATGAGGGTAGTAAAAAAAATAATAATAAAACACACAAAAAATAAAAAATAAACAATCAAAACAAAATCATTTAAATTAACATATAATCCTAACAAAAAACAATAACAATAAAAGCCAAATAAAAAAAATAATAATAATAATAAAAATTTGTTATTAAATGTATTATTATAAACACAACACTAATCTTCTTTTGAATTTGCAAAACCGATGATGGCAGCAGCTAACTTTTACATTCCGAAGAAAGGAGGAAAGCTTCACCACGAAGCCTTCCGAAAGTGGCTGGCCAAGTTCACACTAGACGACTCAAGATGAGTACAGCTTGCTTCAAGCGTCAAGCCAAGAACAAAACTGGCGATTCTCCTGGAGATCAGCAACAGGAAGCTGGAGGCCCAGAAACAGCGAGAGATGCTCGGTAGACGGTGCGAGCAGCTATCTGAGGAGGCGGACATCACTCAGTACGCCGATGTCAAAGTCAAGAAGAGGCTTTTAGAAATGGAGAAGGTGCTGGGCTACCCTATCGTCGCCCGGAAGTATGTCCTGCATCCTTGCAACATACCAGCAAAAGGACCCCCAACCGAAGACTCTAGCGACCGGGAGGTGATGCGCATCCTGCACGAAATGAAGGACCAGGAGCCAGTACAAAGGATTGATCCGGTAACCAGCATCTTCAGCCCGCCTGGAGCACATCCTGAGGAGGATGTCCTGGAGATGGAGTTGGAAGAGGATTTCACCCTGGAGTTCTAGAGGACAACCACTCTTCAAGACTCCAACCTAAAGACTGTTATGTATTATTAGTTATAAGATTTCATGTTCCTATTAGTTCTTTTTTTTTCTCATTTCAAGACTGATTAATCTAAATTTTTAAAAGTTTTCTGTGATATTAGAATTTTGTGAAACTCGCAATAACAATTAGCTTCGTCACAAAATTGAGGGGACAATTACGACGTTACCAAAGTTTACCGCCGTAATAATAATATACCAGTAATAGGCCTACTCAATTAACCAAACTTAGATTAGCTACTATCAAGCTTTCTAATAGGCTCGAACAATAACCAATGAAAGACTTAATTTCAAATAGCCTAGGTTGTTGTACAGTTGCAATAAACACCGATCCTCTTGATGCTTTGCAATTTCAAGGTAATAATAATAAAAATTCTAATAAATACCTCTCTAATTAATAGCAGATTTAAGTTAAATTTCATTAATGCATAAGTGGTACTTACGTATTAAACGGAGGCCACATTTTGTCAGCGCGCTGCGGCGGTTATGTTAGGTTGGGTTATCATAATAGAAAGTATAACTCGTCTGGTATCGATTCATAACGAAGCGAGGAAAGTCCTACACACATAATATTTACGATAACCCAACCTATCATAACCGCCGCAGCGCGCTGACAAAATGTGGCCTCCGTTTAATACGTAAGTACCGAATAAGTTGAGATAACCTACAATACGTACACTTATCGTTTAGATATTTTAACGTCTGCCGATACAACTTTTACTTTCATCAAAGGCCGTAATTAAATTAGACTCCGACTAATCATTCTTTTATTTAAATTATCCTATAGCTATGATTTGTTTTAATTACTGTAAGAAGACTTAAATTCATATTAAGAATAACTTTATACGGATGTCTATTATTTACAATCATCACTAACATAACCTCCAGGACATGACATTTGACAGACATCGGCACCCGGCCCGGTTTGGAGAGCACAAGTTCACATGTACAGAAACCTTATACTGACGTCATAAATATCGAATGTATATATCGATTGTACCGAGTGGTTACGGGTTTTTCTTCGGAATGTAAGTATCGGTTGCACCGAATAAGTAAAGGTTTTTTTTCGTAACACTTTATTTGACGAATTGAATACTCTCGGTAGTTTATCCATTATAAATCAAATAGTAGAAATACAATAATATTCGTTACAGGCTGGGAATAAAATAATTACTGATACTTTGGATTGAACATCCAAGATGTTTGCAATTGTTTTCGTATTTACCTGACTTATAAAATAAAAACTTGAGTTCACAGGACGTTGAATACTAAGAATTTATTTCATAGCATCCACAATAGTACAATAACTGTAATTAAAGTAGACGAATTACAGGAATTATTATCGATTCTAGAAGAGAGTGAAATAATAATTGTAGCTTTGACATCACAGTACTTAGTCAATGGTTAAACTGTATAGGGCCTATTTTACGTGACTGTAAATTCCATAAAATAATATATCTAAAACAGTCCTCTTGGGCTTTTTAAATTGTCACCTTACACTGATGGGCAATATCTGTTAGTAAATCATTCCCAAACATTAACATAACTTTAACATGTCAAAGTTACAATTATTATTTCACTCTTTTCTAGAATCGATAATAATTCCTGTAATTCGTCTACTTTAATTACAGTTATTGTATTATTGTGGATGTTATGAAATAAATTCTTAGTATTCAACGTCCTGTGAACTCAAGTTTTTATTTTATAAGTCAGGTAAATACGAAAACAATTGCAAACATCTTGGATGTTCAATCCAAAGTATCAGTAATTATTTTATTCCCAGCCTGTAACGAATATTATTGTATTTCTACTATTTGATTTATAATGGACTAGCAGAGTACCCGTCCTTCGTACGGGGTTGGCATAAATGTATAAAATGCTTATTGCAGTTATACTCAAGCTTTCCGTTTGCAATGGGGAGAACACAGTTTGATAAAATTTGCTTCTTTTAATTTACAGTTAATTATAGTATTACACATCTAACCATAGCTATAATGTTCTACCAATTCACCTAAACAATAGAGAAAATAAATTATCAAAAATTCGCAAAATATCACAAATTAGTCATAAAATTAAAAAATATAAACTTAACTGTAAACAATCCTTCTTTGACAGTTCTCATTGCATATCACAGTTTTTTGTTTCTGCTTAGTTCAAATTAGCTGTTTACATAAATGCAAAAAAAAACAGTGCTGCACTCTATTGGTAAATCCTATAACTTTTTAATGCTTTTTGTGTCGTAGAATCAACTTTTTTAGTTGAAACAGCTGACTAAATTCTTTAATTCCCTTTAAATATGAATACTCATAAGGTTAACATGGGGAACTACAGAGCCACTTGGGCGGAGCCCAAAAGGATTTTTGAGATAAGAATATGTCTATATGTTAATCGGGAATGTGAGCTATCATCATGCCAAATTTCAGCTCAATCCATTCAGTAGTTAATGCGTGATTGAACTTCAAACAAACAAACAAACAAACACACAAACTTTCACATTTATAATATTAGTAAGATAAACTACCGAGAGTATTCAATTCGTCAAATAAATTGTTACAAAAAAAACCTTTACTTATTCGGTGCAACCGATACTTACATTCCGAAGAAAAACCCGTAACCACCCGGTACAATCGATATATACATTCGATATTTATGACGTCAGTATAAGGTTTCTGTACATGTGAACTTGTGCTCTCCGCCCGGTTTGCGAATTGAGTGAGAGGAAGTAAAACAATCACATTACGTCATATAGTTTTTTCTGCGCAGTACGTACTCCGGGGTCATCGCGGGGCGGTATTTTTGAAAGAAGGAGACTTCTCTCTTGTTAACTCGGTTTTTTTAGCTGGAAGAGTAGAGTCCTCAAAGCTACATTCGGCAAATACTACACACGGCTTTGTGCTGGAGTTGGTAAGAGCTGAAAGTTGGCAAATTAAACTACGGATTAGGTTTTTCTTTATTAGCAAAATTTAATTTCTTTTTCAGGGATTACATTATTGCGAGTTAGTTTTTTCAATTTCAAGTTAAATATTTATGAATTGTTAATATTTGTGAATTGTTAGTGAGAAGGATCACTGTGATAATTACTGAATAAAACTGAATGTTATATTTAATAAAATAGTTGAATAAATAATTAATTGTTGCATCATAAACTCTTGACTTGTTATTGTAGGGACACACCCTCATCTCTCTAGATATAAATAAAGGGAATACAATATCATAATAAGGTTTTGTTAAGAAACAACCCCACTCATTAAATCGGCTGGCAAAGAACCTCTCCCTGAAGATAGCTCATTGCTCTACAAAAAATAGGTAGGGTAACAAAAATAACTAAAATTTTTAGTTGGAGTGTTGTAAAAATGGCGCCCAACGTAGCGGCCGATTGACCAACGTAGTGTACGGATTAACCAACATAGTAACTTGACTAAACTAACTAAAATACATACTTTGAATGTCTAGAGTCTGATAAATAGGTTAATAAATAATAATGGAAGATAAAACCAGTTAGTATAAGTTGCGTTCTGTACAAAAATAACCAAAATTTTGAGTTGGAGTGTTGTAAGCCGTTATTGAGTTAAGAATGTGAAAAGAAAACTGCTTGCGTATTAACATTGACTATTGGATAATATATAGATTGCTCCATACAGGGTGAAACAGAAACTGTGTGCAAATGTGCTGAAGCTAGGGCTGCTTGTGGATCAGACAACAAGACTTATGACTCTACCTGCAAGATGATCAGATCAGAGAAAAACACCAGAGTCACACTTCAGCACTGGGGGCCATGTCACCATAGTAAGTACACTCTAGAAGAGAAAACCACCTGAGTCACACATCATCACTGGGAGCCAGGGCACAAAAGTAAGTAAACGCTAGATCATAGAAAAACACCAGTCACACTTTAGCCCTGGAGGCCCTGTTACCATAGTAAGTACACGCTAGATCAGAGAAAAATGCCAGAGTCACACATTTAGTACTGGGGGTCCTGTCTCCATAGTAAGTACACACACACGTGATCAGAGATAAACACCAGAGTCACACTTCTGCACTGGGGGCCATGTCACAATAAAGTACACACTAGATCAGAGATAAACACCAGAGTCACACATCAGCACTGGGAGCCATGTCTCCATAGTAAATACACACTAGATCAGAGAAAAGCACCAGAGTCACACATAAGCACTGGGGGGCCTGTCTCCATAGTAAGTACACACGTGATCAGAGATAAACACCAGAGTCACACTTCTGCACTGGGGGCCATATCACCATAGTAAGTACACACTAGATCATAAAAAACACCAGAGTCACACATCAGCACTGGGGGGGCCTGTCTCCATGGTAAGTACACGCTAGATCAGAGAAAATAAGCGCCAGAGTCACACATCAGTACTGGGGGCCCTGTCACCATAGTAAGTACACACTAGATTAGAGAAAAACACCATTAGAGAAAGTCACACATGAGCACAGGGGGTCCTGACTCCATGGTAAGTACACTTGATTAAAGAAAAACGCCTTAGTCATACAATGAGATGGGGTCCATGTCACCATAGTAAGTACACACTAGATCAGAGATAAACACGAGAGTCACAAATCAGCACTGGGGGCCCTATCACAATAGTAAGTACACGCTAGATCAGAGAAAAGCACCAGAGTCACACATCAGCACTGGGGGGCCTGTCTCCATGGTAAGTACACGCTAGATCAGAGAAAAGCACCAGAGTCATACATCAGCACTGGGGGGCCTGTCTCCATGGTAAGTACATGCTAGATAAGAGAAAACCACCTGAGTCACACATCATCACTGGGTAGACACACAAGCCTGTCTCCATGGTAAGTATATGCTAGATCAGAGAAAAGCACCAGAGTCACATATCAGCACTGGGTGCCATGTCTCCATAGTATTTAGACACTAGGTCAGAGAAGAACTATGTTTAGTTTATAGTTCACACTTCATAGTTTAAATTTTAACATAATTTGTTATTTTAAAGTCAAGGCTCTCAACATCTAACCTTTTTCTTTTGGTCACTTACATAACGTATTGATGTCAATAAAAACCTGGGTAAGCTGGATGAGGCTTTTGCCCTCCTTTGCTTACTTTTTGTTTTTAATTGATACAATTGGTTGAGTGCAGCAGTGAAAGACCACCCCTTGTGACCGTTTTGTATTAAAAAACATCACAGTCAACTTTTTGTTATGCTAAGCCAATATCAATAACGATCTTAAAAGTCACTTTGGAGCCTGATTGGAATCTACCCTGTTGGTTCAAGAAGGAAGTGTCAAACTTCTTTTTGGAACACAAACAAAATTAAGTGTTGAAATAAATCATTAAAGCTTCCCACTATTATAGTACAAACAAGCTCTCTTGTATTTGTCATGGTTCTTTGATTTGTATGTTAACTGCAAAATAATGTATGCACACTGAAAAATTACTTTGTAAATACTGTGTAAATTCACAGTAAAAATGTTTAGGTACAAGGTACAATTCTGTACTCACTTTGAGATCTAAATCCTAGCCAACAACTATTTAAACATTCGATAATTTACTGGACCTTGGGAATAACCAGTGTTAAAGACTGTTTCGGTCGTTGACTAGGTTTGGATAAATTTTCTTTACATTTTTTGAAACTATGTTCTCTGATAATTTACATAGTACGTAACGTTAATACATACTTTATGTGCTTGCTCGGAAACACAAAACAACATCAGAAATCACGTGAAACACAAACCAGAATTTGTCCACAGGATAAAGGTTACGGTAATTACTGGCTGAAAAGTGGTCATTCACTAGAATCTATGATTTGACGATCCTCAAATAGTTATTTTCATCATACACAGGATGTCCAGCTTCGACGTGATGATCTTGGACTTGGAAGAAGGGAGGGTAATGCAATTTTAAAATTCTATACAGTATCATCGGTCATTCACTGGTGTTCTCACCCTACTTGATCGATTTCTCAAAATTTGACGTCTTTCTTGAAATCATTATTTATTGAATCTTGAATCCAGAGCTTAAGAGAAAAAGATTGACTATAGATAGACCTATAGATAGAAAAGAGAAAATAATTATACCTTTGACTATTAACCCTTCCAGGGCTATGGACGGATATATCTGTCAATCTTTGTTTACTTTCCGGGCTGAAAACGGATATATCCGTCCTGAGAAATTTCTTTTCTGGGATAAAAACGGATATATCCGTCCAAAAAACTAATTGATATACAATGTTTATAATACGGTAATAAAAATTACACTGTATTATAAATGGGTTATTTTGTTTTTGTGATTGGAAATAATAATTTCCGCAGCTGTTTCGGCTATTTTGCTCCATAGAGTGTGCATGTGCATAAGTAAATATTGCTGCCACTTTGCACATGGTTGTTAGTGAGTGATGTTTACATTTTGTGTTTTGTACTTTTTTTTATGTTATTAAGCTAAAGTTACTAATGCAAACTATCTGAAATTTGAAGATGTTATTGAGATGCTTAATACAAGTATGTCTGAGAGGGGTTTTATACTTGGCAGTGAAAATAATAGTGGGGAATGTGATGGATATGATGAACCTTAAGAACAGTCTTTACGTAGTGGAATCTTGACGAGGAATGGGATTGAGGACATGGGAGCGGAACTGAGTGGTTTAGATTTACTTCAGAATGATAGATACATTTTTATGGATAAAAAATAAAACAAGGGAAGGAATAGTCTAAGCCAAAATTATACCTTAAACCAAGCTTTTATTAAGCAGAAAAAAACATACTAAAGTAAAGTTTGTTTGAGAAAACAAATAAACAAATTAAACAATTATTGAATCAGCTGCTTAATATAAAATTCCATAACAACTATTGATAAATCAGTAGTGAATCCTTATTATAAATACAACAATTGAAGTTTATTTCTTTTGCTGATCATAACAAAAACCGGATTATTTATTAAAAGAAACTACTTTTTCATACTGAGTAATAATAATTTATTTTATAGACGGCTAATATTTTGGGGAAAAAATAAGAGGAAAGCTGTGAAAATTTTAGTGATCTTGTTAGATGCGAAAATTGAACCCCAAACAACCGGTAACGATAGGTATGAGACATAAAGAATATAGAATCCCTGAGAATTATTAGCAGTAAATTGATATGAAGTTTTGTTGATCGACAGCTCCTCAGGTGACGTCGGGCCCTGAAAACAAATCAATGTTTACTGGTCAACCAGCTGTCCTGGACTGTGAGGCTAAAGGCTTCCCTGTACCCTCCATCACTTGGGAGTTTGTGAGTGGAGACAGCAGTGTCGTCGTGTTGCCAGGTACTACTACACATAGCCAATAAGCTTATGGATCTCCGTAAGACTTGCTAACCATATTCTAGCTGTTACTTTTCAAACCGAAACAGTTTGGACAACTGTAACATGGAAAACTTAAATATATAGATATGAATTTGAACGGATGGTGTTTTTGGCCTCTGGGGACATCAAAACAAAAAATTAAATCTTTCCCGGGTTCAGATCTTACCATAAGACCTATCCAGACGAAACCGTAAAAATTTCCAATGATCACGGAGGACATCATAATTGTTTAACTCAATAGTGGAAAGATTGTGGACATTTCCCACAATCGCGTTTTAAATGTTAACAATTATTTTCTCCACAAATATAGCATTGGAACTTAGAAGGCCCCTGGGGCAGAGCCCTGATGAAGTTTCATAGATTTATTTTATGCCAAATCTACTTTCCACGACCTGTCCAACAACACCTTGATCAAGGTGATTAGTTACGTGGCAGCTTCAAAACAATTTATCACAAAATTATGTTTGCCTATTATCAATATATATACAGTGTGTAAAATAAGTATTGGAACAAATCTGTATTTTTTAAACCGAAATAGATAGGAATATTCTGTTTGTAGCATTGATTCTTAACAATGGTTCCGCAATTTTTTACACCAAAATTTTTTTTTAACCCCTTTAACAGGTGAAAAGGGTTACTTATTTTTTTCAAATAGCAACCCCTATTGAGTGACCCCTCATTTTGAAGGGCTTGACAAAAGAAACATATTGACGCAAACCCAAAGTGAATATCTCACCACTAGCCAAAATGACAGATATTCTAAAACGGATGTTTTTTCACAAAAATCAAATTTTGGAATACCAAATTTAGGCTAGGGATGAAATATCTACCTCGGGTTTGCGTCATTGTATTTCTTTTGACTAACCCTTCAAAATGAGGGGTCACTCAATATGGGTTGTTGTTAAAAATAATAAATCACCCCCACCCCCTACCCTGTTAAAGGGGTTTAAAAATATTGTTGATGTAAAAAGATGCAGAACCTATGTTAACAATCAATTCCACAAATGTTTCTATCCATTTCGGTTTTTAAAATATAGATTTGTTTCCATATTTGTGAAATTGGTGCTTTTTTACATACAGTAAATCAAATATTGGAATACCTGCCATTTTGGCTAGGGGTACGATATCCACCTCGGGTTTGAATCATTTTATTTCTTTTGACAAATCCTTCAAAATGAGGGGTCACTCAATAGGGGTTTTTATTTGAAAAAAAATAGTCACCCCCTACCCTGTTAAAGGGGTTAAAAGGTTTTTGGTGTAAAACATTGCGGAACCTTTGTTAATAATCAATGTTACAAAAGAATATTTCTATCCACAGCCCGCCCTCACTAGTCCGACAGGTACGGGACTGACGTAGTGTTGGATTACCAAAAACGTCGGATTATCGAAAATGGCTATTCTGTAATGCGTTTGATTGCCAAAAAGATATAACTGCAGTCGGCGTTTCACCGCTATCTATTCTTTTAATAATCTCCCACTTCTCCGATATTGTTAAAGTTTTGCGTTTCCGTTTAACACCACTTGTACTAGCCATTTCACACAACTACTGTACACGAACACTTGCACTTATTAACAAAGAAAATACCACTGCACCGGGAAAGTGTACTGCACGTCTCGAAAGTCAACTGAACACTGAACGGAAGTGCTCCGACGGCAACGAGACGTGAGTCACAGTGTTTCATGTCACTGTGTCACTGGCATGATTGATTTTTTGCTCCCGTAGCGGCGCGTCGGATTACCAAGTACGTCGGATTTCGGATTTCAAAGCGTCGGACTAGCGAGGGCGGGATGTATTTCGGTTTTTAAAATACAGATTTGTTTCCATATTTGTGAAATTGGTGCTTTTTCACATACAGTAAATCAAATTTTGGAATACCTGCCATTTTGGCTAGGGTACGATATCCACCTTGGGTTTGCATCATTTTATTTCTTTTGACAAATCCTTCAAAATGAGGGGTCACTCAATAGGGGTTGTTATTTGAAAAAAAATAGTCACCCCCCTACCCCTTACCCTGTTAGGGGTCAAAAGTTTTTTGGTGTAAAAAATTGCAGAACCTTTGGTTACAAAAGAATATTTCTATCTATTTCAGTTAAAAAAATACAGATTTGTTTCAAGACTTAATTAACACACTGTATATAGAGGATATACAATGTTTTGGAGAGTAGATGGTGAGGTAACACGTTCGCTGCGGGTGGGTCAGTACTGACCCACGGCGATTGCATCGCCTGCAGTGCATCAATCTGTTGCTCAGTGCGAGCCTAGCGTCGGTCAAAGGTGGAACTATACCACGTTAGCATGTAGTGTGTGACTTGCTTTGTTCACCGTTAAGTTGGTTCCCGTGTCTCACTCCCACCCAGGCAGCTGGGTCGGTAATGACCCACGGTACTGTGAACGCCCCTCACTGTGCTACTTTTGTGTGCTTTATGACGTCATATTCAATTTCAATAAACTTTTAAACTATTTCATTTCAATAATATTAACATTTTAAATCTTTTATATCTTTCATCTTTGTTAAATATTTCCATTTTTTTACTATGGTTCTTGATGGGTCAGCACTGACCCATGTATATGACGTCATATTATGAAGTCATAATCAATTCCAATCAATTTATATACTATTTTATGTTGATTATTTTATGATAATGACTACATATATCTTTGGAACATATATTTTTAGTGATATAAATAATGTATTTAGTGACATTTCCATTTTTTTCTGACCCTGGCTCCTGGTGGGTCAGTACTGACCAGCGAACACATAAGACCAATAGAAGGGGTATCCTGGCCCTGAGGTGAAGCAGCCTGTTTCGTGCTCGTCCACGACAAAGATGGCGGCGCGGGGATGACTCACGCTAGTGCCGCGCGCTCAGCTACACCACCCTCAACTCAACACCAGACTGCTGTTGGAGTGAAAAGAGGTCAGCGGCCCAGTACTGCACGTGCTATATTCCCGTCTGTTTCCTCATATCTGTAATTTAACTTCTCTATCATTTCTTTTTACCTATGACGGATGTTACGTATTGAAACAGATGTTTTCATAGTTAAAGATGTGTTCTTGCGTTGCATATGGGTGTTACAACAAAGGCAGTATCGATGGAATAACCTTTCATATTATTTGCTTACCTATGAAACTTTCATAGGTAAGCAAATAAATACATTTTATTTTGCAAATGTTAAAACATTGCATATAGAGTATTCCAAAATATGTTGAGTACGGCAAATACTTCTAACTGATCACTGTGGCTAGCTCTTCTCTTCTAATTTTGCAGGGTTCCTTTAAATGAAGAGCTTCGATAGAAGTGGATCCTCGCCGTCAAGAGAAAGGACTGGCAACCAAAAAAGCACAGCCTGTTATGTTCAGCGCACTTCCGGGAAGAGGATATTGATAGAACATCAGTGTCATGCGTCCGGATTCGACCAGGCGGTATTCCCACGATTTTCCCAGCCTTCCCACATGCCTGTACAGTAAAGGAACGTCGGCCTTTAAAAAGAACTGTCCAATCCGAGGTAAGCACACAAAGTCTTGTTGTGTCCCCAATAAAGAGATTAAAAGTAGAATTGAATAAAGCCAAAAAAGATCTTTCAACATACCAAAGAAGGTTGAAAACAGTCAAACAGAATAACAGAAGGCTAACCAAGAAGGGGGCAAAATTGGAAGAAATAATTCTTGTTTTAAGAAACAAGCTGAACTTCCAAGAAGAACAGTGTTCTCTGTTAAGTTCAATTTCCGAGGGTTCTGATTGTTTAGTAAAAAGGGCGTTAGACAAGAAATTGAATCCTAAACTAAAAAAAGCTTATGATGAAAAGCTTAAGTCGTTTGCCATAACTCTTCATTTTTTGTCCCCTAAAGCCTATTGTTATATAAGAAAGACTTTTAATACTGCTTTACCACATCCAAGGACACAAAGAAATTGGTATTCAAGTGTACAAGCAGAACCTGGATTTTCAACTGAAGTTTTTAGAGCTTTAAAAGAGCACAGCAACAATGTAGATGAAGCAAAAAACCCATATGTTCTCTAATGCTAGACTGCATGTCCATAAGAAAACAAATTGAATGGGACGGCAAACGTTTTCACGGACATGTTAACTTAGGCAATAATGTTGTAAGCGAAGATTCCACTATAGCGGCATCGGAGGCTCTTGTTTTCCATTTGGTGTCTATCAAATCTACATGGAAAATACCTTTAGGTCATTTTTTCGTTGCATCAACAAACGGTAATCAACTTAGTAGCTTGGTGAAACATTGCCTTAACCTTTTGAGCGATTCAGACGTCAAGGTATAGCATCTTTAACGTTTGATGGTACTGCGTGCAACATCGCCATGGCCAGCAACTTAGGTTGCTCTATGGATGCAGAGAAATTGGTTCACTGGTTCCCACACCCTACAACATCTGAAAGAATAAATTTTTTTTTAGATCCATGTCTTATGCTCAAACTCGTCCGAAATACGCTGGCAGACTACAAATTGTTTATAGACCCAACTGGCAAGCAGATAGAATGGCGGTACATTGAGCAATTACACGCTCTTCAGCAGCAAGAAGGACTTCATTTAGGCAATAGATTAACTAAGACTCACATAAACTATACCAAACAAAAAATGAAAGTTAAAGTTGCTGCTCAGGTTCTTAGTTCATCTGTTGCAGACTCTCTTGAATTCTTAGAACAAAAGAATGTGACTGGATTTGAAAACTGCTCTGCTACAATTGAATTTGTACACACTTTCGACATGCTTTTTGACATACTTAATTCAAGGAGCATAAGAGCAAAATATGCGAAACAGGCATTATATCCAGGTAATTTTGAAAAAAACTCTGCATTTTTGCTAAAAGCAAAAACATACATAGCTAGTCTAAGTCAAAGATGATAGCAACAAAGAAGGAACAAAATCAATATTGGAGTCCAAGCGGAAGACAGGCTTTCTTAGTTTCATAGTCTGCATTGATAGTGCAATAGCAATGTACAATCAGTATGTTACAGGAAAAACGCTTATGTATTTACCATTATACAAAGTGAGCCAAGATTATCTTGAGCGTCTTTTTGGCTACATTCGGTCTCGCGGGGGGGCACAATAACAACCCGTCGTGTAAACAGTTCACTGGTTCATTTAAAAGAATTCTTTTGCACAAAGAACTCCAAGAATCTAACTTGGGGAACGCTTTAGTCTTGAGCAAATCTTTAATTTTTCAGATAAACAAAAACAATTGTGAAACTGCTGAAATCAACTCTTCAACGCCTAGGTGGAGATGTTTATAGATGAAGATGAACAATCTTTGTTTATTGACGATGAATCCATTGAGAATGAACTCATAACACCTATCTTGGAATCGACTTCAAGCATAACTTGCAATATTGTAGAGTATATTGCTGGCTATGTCGTAAGATCCTTAAGGAAAAAAATTGTTTGTAAAAGCTGCTCTGACCTGTTAGTTAGTAATGTAACTCATGCTAACACATTGATTTATTGCAAGAATAGAGGCGGACTCGTCCAACCTTCTGATGGAGCAGTTAAACTGTGTTTAATGTGTGAATCTATTGTAAAGTTCTTTGTAAATACTAATCATATTACACATGTAAATATTATTGTAAATGCTATGACTTTGAGAGTTTTGGAGAACTGTATTGGAGTAAATATTTTTCCAGGAGACCACGGTTTGGAACAAGAGCCAGACCAAAACCACTATATTTTGCTTATGAAGGCCTTATGTAAAAAATATTTAACCGTGAGACTTCACCATTATTTAAAAACTGTAAACGAATCCTTCAACAAAGTAAAAGTTAGGAATCACTTAACCAAAGCAATAACATTCCTGGGGCAGTAGGAAAAAGTAGGGAGTAAAGCTTATTGAAATACATCAATTGTTCTAAACTGTTTTGTAAACGGGACATTATTATTGTATTACTATACATTGCACATGTACTAATTGTAATAAAGGATTGTGAAATGAAATAAAAATTGTTTAAAATACCTGGTAGTAGCTATTTATCCTTGTGTTTTTAAACATTAAGTTTCATATTAACAATTTTATACGGCTTTTACAATATTTTGTATTTTAAATCGTATTTCCTTTCAGCAATTATGCCTTAGGCCTGCCTATAGTTGGTTTTTCACATTTTTACTAGGATTTCTAGTAAATTAATACATATCTCTGTAATCCAGCTACTAGGAGGTCACGAATTGTGGATATTTATAGGGATGCACTGTGGATACGATGTTCCCTGGTGTGGATTAACGTCCGCACTAGTGAGTACTACGACTATCCGCAGTACTATCCTGATAATTAGACCAATTCGTAAATTACAAGGAAAAAATGTGGTTCGGATTCCACTATAAACTGTAGGTCCCTTAGTTGCCATTAGCTGTATGGGCTATTAATTAACAGCTGTGTCTAAGGAACATGTCGACCTTAGTCACTAACAAGACTACAAGATCGCGCCACTCATCCTACACTCATCCTTCACTCATATTTGGGTTAAAATACGCACATAGTGGCGTCCCCATCTTAAATAATTGATAAAATCTGGTATTATGTGACAATCTTTCTACTCTAAATTATTTTATTCTTTGAAAAACAGAAAATAAGTACAGATACGGCTTTGTGAACCCCTATGCGTGAGACGGCTGACGACCGCGCGCCGTCCGGTCGAAATTTAAGTGGACTTAAACCTAACTTTGTGACCAAAGTATAAGCCGTAGATTAAATAAAAATCATAAAAAAATCCTTCAGTTACCCCTGTAAAACTTTCTCGCTTTGATAACATCTCTGACCAAAAAATAAAAATTTTGGTAGCCGACTTACTTTTCTATGTCATATTTTGATATTCACTCAAAAAATAATACTTCAAACGACTATTTTAAATGTATACAGGTAACAATGAATTTTTATAATGCTACTTTTATCGTTAGAAACTTATAGTGCCGAGTAAAAGTATAATCCATGCCAAGTTTGAAATTTATATCTCAATCCTAAGTGTGTCAAACAGCAGTTTATTCGGAGAGCGCGCATTAAAATTTTCCGCTCTCAAAAACACGATTTCGTCTTTCTATCCCCTACTTTAATGGCGGCCTTTGCCTCACCTACCGTAACGCTGTACTAGTGCATATGCCTCTTCTATTGGTCTTATGTGTTCGCTGGTACAGACCCATTAGTATGACATCACTTTTTGACGTCATATTCACTTCCAATTATTTTAAATAATATTGTATTTCAATAAGGACACAAAAAGGAATGGTATACAACAATAAAGTTCTTTAGCAATACGATTCAATTTTTTAATTTCCTTTAGCAGTGAACGTGTTTTAACATTAGTCTGATTGAGACACTATTACAGGAGACAATCCCTTGGTGTCAGTTCAGAGTAGAGGAGGGCCAGAGTCACTAATGGTGTCATCCTGGGTACAGATTCAACAAGCTCGCAAGTCTGACTCTGGGACCTACTCTTGTGTGGCTTCCAACAGTGAGGGAACATCTAGAGCTGTGGCCCAGCTCTCTGTGCAATGAACACTGACCGTGGTTTACAGTTTGAGTTTATAAAAAAAATGTGAACAAGCCTTGGAATAAGCCAAAAGAGAAGAGTTATGAACTATTATACAATAAAGTGAAATTAGTTTAGTGGAGACCAAAAATTGGCTTTTACTTTTGTATGTTTAATCAAGTTCTAAAGGAAGTTTCAAAATAATTATCAGGATTTGTTTGTGCTTTATAATGAACTTATTGTAAAACTTGCAATTAGAAATAATTTATCAAACTTAAGATTGATTCTAAAAGTATTCTACAGCCTATAAAAACTTACTGAGCTAAATCTATTATCTTCGACTAACGATACAACTAGACATTCCATCTCCATTGGACAGATTGTGCTGATGTAAATGTTGATTGATGAGATTAATAATGAGATTGAGATACTTTTGTTGACTAATCATCTCCAATTCGGCTGCTTGTTTGTTGATGGATTCCTTTAGCTTGAATTTTTTATTTGCCTTTTCAAGTGCTGGATTAGAATCTTCTTGTAATTGAGCTGATAACTTTTTTCAATTATACCTACTACGAGTCTGTCACATATTAGTTCATATTTTAGAATGAACAGTGTTCTACCATTGAACTTATATGTCTGCTAGAAATGTATAAAATAGTACATGGTTGATGAGATCTTGAATTAAATTTAAATTTTACCCTTTTAAGTATAATGTTTCTTTTCTCTATAAAAATATCCTTAAAAGCTTTTGTCACAAATTCATATGAGGCTTCATCGGCTACTGAGAGGTGCACCGTTGTTAGGATATCATCTTCAGAATCAGGTCCCATGTAATGTATCAGGTAACTTACCCCTACTTTTCTTCAGGTCCTTTTATTTAGTCCTGATCGATGCATTTCCGAATCTTTCAAATCGCTTGCACCAAGTTTCCCACTGCTCATGTTTGAAATCAACAGGTTTTGGAGGCTGAAGTTCTATTTTGGTGAAGTCTTGGTTCTAGATTAATTTCTGCTTCTAATGATTGATTTGATTTGATTTGATTTAGACCTAGCCTATTTCTAGTTGATTTGTCTTGATTTGTTTGTGGCATTATAAAGAAGATTAAACCGCTGCCACCATGTCAAATGATGAGATTAATAATAAGATTGAGTAAGATTTTTGTGACTTGTATTATGAATTAAATTATTTAATAAACTGAATTAAAAGTAAACAGTACCTGGGGCAGAGCTTTGCTCGGGTAAAATCATGAGTATATCTGAGAATAGTCTTTAATCAATGTAATTTATGAGTGAAAATTTAAAAACGTACGTTTTCAGGAAAAGCACTTTTAAAATTTTTTGTTCCGTTTTTTGAAACTTTTTTTATTTTTTTAATTTCATTGACATTTGAAGTTTCATAAAATGTCCATGGTAACGCAATATCTTTGGTGATTTTTTATTAATAGAGCATCTTTGATGGAAAAACACTAAATTATGTCACGACCATCACGGACACAAAACTGAATTTTAAAAATAGTTAATATTATTTTTGTAACTATGTTTTGCTATTAATTAATTTACTTTTATGACCATCATACAATAAACAGCTCACTAAGCTTTTGGTATATATGGTCTTTCTAGAAAAAAATAAAAAAACTCAAAAAGTTGAAAAAAGCCAATAAAATCTTTTTAAGTTTGTATAACTCCGAAAAAACTTACCTGAAACCCGAAAAATCGTTATGTTTTTATAGAAGTGTACTTCTTTTGTGTATAAAACATTGAAATATGATGATATTTTAATTTTTGAAATTTTTATGATAGAAATCATCAACGTGATGGTCAGGGACAAGCGGTACGGTCGTGAATTGTCTGAAAATTTTTAAACCTTTGTAAACAATCCTTCAACTATACTGTTAGTTATAATAAAAATATGTGTTTCAATTGAACTAAACTTTTCAATTTACAATGATATTTAAGTTATTGTCACGACCAAACACAGTATAATCCATAAGGCTGGATTGGTCGTGAAAAAACCCGCGATGGTCGTGAAACTTTGGTCGTGACATTACGTGTTATTTGGCTCTGTTCTGGCGGTAGCCCTGCACCTCATGTTCGAGGATACAAAGTGGACTTCTAGGTTAATGTAGCAATATAAATATCATATCAACAAAAATTAACCCCACGTCTACTTCATCAAATGACTATGTATGGTCATGGACACACCAAAATTACAAAAAACACAAAATTACCTTTATTAATCTTGTAACTACTTCTTTCAACACAAAACGACCGGCACAACAAACTTGACGTACACCCCGAACTAGTCTCTAAAACGAACTGACGCAATCGACGCCAGGCTTGCCACTGTCGTGATCCAAAGTTGAAAATTTTTGCCAAATGGTCGTGACGCCAAATCGAGGGACAGACTTATTTTGTCATGGTAGTCAGTTTGCAATGACACTAAAATTATAATATGCTCCTTTTTTGTAAGTTTAATAACTATTGATGACATAAAAATATGGCTTGATATATTTCGGCATAAATAATTAGTCTAAAAACAGCGTGAAAGTTGGAAAATGTACCCAAGGGACACGTCATGGTCGTGAATTTCGAGACTTTAAAAATACGAAAAAAATACCTAGAACCTATTTAAAACCAAATAAATGTGTGTAACATGTTGCCCCTGTCCCAAAAAATATTAAAATACATAATAATAAACTACAAATCCAGTATCTACGAAGTAAAAGGCCAGGGACATGAAAACGTACGTTTTTAAATTTTCACTCTTATCCAAATATTTTGTAGTATAACTTTGATCTGTTAAAATATGTCAATTATAGTTGGGACTTGATAAGCAAAGTAATAAATATTTTACAGACCATAAGACAATTTTAAAACGTAATTTAACACAAAGATAAAATCTTGTAGACGGGTAGATTTAGCCAAAGTAAACCTCCAAGATAGAACAAATTGTAACAAAAGGTTTTCAACGGTTTTTGGTAGTAACAGGTGTAGTAAGTGCCAGAAAAAAGTCTCACAAAATCAGACAACCGGAAGTCAGGATTTTCCAAGGTAAAAGGGGAGGCTAGGCTTTGGAAACAACATAACTAGGTGGTCGAAGGTAATAATATTAGGACTAAGCCAATCGCAAATCTCACTATGCCAGGGTCGCTTAATCTCTTGAAGGTGCCAACAAACAAAACTACTCTTTCATCACTAAAAAGTTGTAATGCTACTTTCATTGCACCAAAACCACACAGCTCAATGTATAACCAACACGGTATAATCAACTCATGGATTGCTGGCTCAGTGTTGGCAGCGCGGCCTAGCTTCCCCCACCCCACCCCACTGGCAGAAGCCGACACAGCCTATACACTTACCGTTATAAAATGCACCTTTTGAAATATCTATACTATTATATCTTATAGTGTCTGTCTGTATGTCTCTATTACTAATAGGCACAAAAACTATACTGAACCGACTGGGCTTTAATTTTATTAAAATATCATATTAAGAATGACTATTCACACTTCGATACTGACCGTGGGCTTTGACCCTTTGGCTTTAAAAGTTCTGATGTGAGGATTTTATAACAGTAAATGTTGATTGGTATCCATGGCTACAATGAGAACACTCACAATGTTTACATTTTTACTTTGACTTTTTCTTTAATACTTTTTCAATGAAATGGCGACTATACAAAGTAGGTATTTTAAGCCAAGTATGAATGGAGATGAGTGTGGGATGAGTGGCGCGATCTTGTAGTATCGTTAGTGACTAAGGCCGACTTATTCCTTAGACACAGCTGTTAATTAATAGCCCATACAGCTAATGGCAACTAAGGGACATTTCAATGTAAACAAGAAGAATTGCCAAATTGCATATTTCACAATTTCAGACAGCTGATCAAATGAAATTATATTATTTTACACAACTATGTGGTAGGTTTATTTAATCTAAAGCTGGGTTTTCCTAGACGTGGAAGAGGAGCGCAGAGAGCAGAGGGCGGAGAGCGGAGGGCGGAGAGCGGAGAAGTGGTTAACATGGCGTTTCGCTCCGCTCCTTAGAAAACAGTAACATTAAATTACCTAAGACAAGAGGAGTCCGCTCTCCGCACTCAGCTTCCACGTCTAGGAAAACCTAGCTTAAAACTGTACAATATTGAACATCCCATTCAGATTCGGTATTATCAAAATTCTCTTTGTTAACTAGTGTTGGCGATGGTCAATACTAGCTTGTGTTCTTCAAGTTAAGTTAACTTTTAATGATGTATTGTTATTTTATTTGCTTATTGTTCAACTTTCAAACAGATTGTAAATTAAATAAAGTAAAAAAAATTAAAATTAAAAAAATAATAATAAACGTACAAAAACACCTAGATATACTTAATTCTTTGTTCTTTAAGCTTTTAAAATGGGCTAGAGAGAAATTGAGAAATTTTGTGTTTTGAGGGTCAAAAATGAGTAAACCCCATTTTTACCCCATAAAACACCCCTAACCCTGTTCCCATGGTCCGATCATGCTGGTTTGTGAACTCATTCAAGTTACACATTTAAACCACATTTCATAAAAATTGGACAAAAATGTATCAAGTTATTGCGTTTACGGACACATATATACATCTATAAATATACATATATATACAGAGTGGAACGAAGTTAGTGTTGAACATTTTTATGTGTTTAAACTACCGAGTGTTACTGACAAAATGGCACCAATTTATAAGTTTCCATACCCTCACAGGTAGGCAGTAACAGACAAAATAAGATTATTTCAAAATATTTGTATTTGCTTAGATAAAGTGACCATAAAGAGCAATAAACATTGCTTTTATTTCAACGTCATTGTCATTTTCAAGATCCTCATTAAATTTCCAAAAATAATAGTACAAAGTCAACAGATCAAACATCTGTTTAAGCCCTTATTCTGCAATGGAAGTTTGAATTTGTGAGTTTTGAGAAAACATCATTCATTTTCACACAGGCATTCTATAATACTCTGGACTATACAGAGTGTCAAATAGCACTCAAAACTTCCTCAATTAATTATCTTTAAAATAATGTATAAGAAC